TGAAGTCCACACATCTCCAACTGCCAAGGTTGAGAAACACTGTAGTACTTGCACATGAGGGTTTGGATTTGTTGTTGTTGTTGTTGTTTTGGAGTAGCTGATGCTTACAGGAACAGCTTTGTGCCCAAATGTTGCTCAGTTTTGTACCATCTGTCCCAAACTGGCTGTCTCTAGATAAGTTGTGACTACAATTCCAAGAGTTGCAATCTTGATGTATTTGGAATACATCTCTAGCCTTGAGTATATCTGAGACTGTTGGCTGTGTTCACACAATGACCTTACCTAAATGAGATACAGACCAAGCAGGCAGACATGCAACAGGCTCAGCTTGGTTAGTCTCAACCTCATTTAGCTATTTTTCAACTCAATTATTGTGCAAACTCAGCCCTTTCATTAGAATAGAGCTGGAGGGGACCCTTGGAGGTCTTCTAGTCCAGCCCCCTGCTCAAGCAGGAGAACCTATACCATTTCAGATGATTGTTTAGACTCTTCTTAAAAACCTCCAGTGATGAAGTGCCCATGATTTCTGGAAGCAAGAGGTTCCACTGGTTAATTGTCCTCAATGCTAGGAAGTTTCTCCTTAATTCGAGGTTGCTTCTCTCTTTGATTAGTTTCCAACCATTGTTTCTTATTCTGCCCTTTGGTGCTTTGTAGAATAATTTGACCCCCTCTTCTTTGTGGCAGCCCCTCAAACACTGGAATACTGCTATCATGTCACCCCCAATTCTTCGTTTCTTTAGACCAGCCAGACCCAAAACCTGCAGCCATTCTTCATATGCTTTAGTCTCCAGGCCTTTGATCATCTTAGTTGCTCTTCTCTGAACTTTTTCCAAAGTCTCAACATCTTTTTCGTGGTGTGGTGACCAAAATTGCTTGCAGTATTCCAGGTGTGGCCTTACTAGGGTTTTGTAAAGTGGCACTAATATTGAAGGGTTCAATATACTACTACTTTCATTCCAGAGTGTTGCAACTCTGACGTAAAACTCAAAGTTACTTTTAAAAAAGTAATCTGATGCTAAAATTTAAGAGGGGAAGTTGTCCCTGCCTGGAGATTAAAAATACCTTTTTCTTGGCAACTTCAGGCCCGAGGTCTCCAAATCTAACTTATTATAAAAAATGCAATATGGGTAGTCCACAGCTTATGACCACAACTGAGCACTGAATTTCTGTTGCTAAACAAAACAGTTGTTAAGCGAGTTTTGCCTCAGTTTACCACCTTTCCTGCCACCGTTGTTAAGTAAATCACTGCAGCTGTTAACTTAGTAACACGATTGTTAGAATACTTCTTTTTAGTTGTCATCTGGCTTCCCCATTCAGTGTGCTTGTCAGAAGGTTGCAAAAGGGGATCACATGACCTTGGGACACTGCAACTGTCATAAATATGAACCAGTTGCCAAGTATCAGAATCTGGGTCATGTGACCATGGGGATGCTGCAATGGTTGTAAGCGTGAAAAACAGTCATAAGTCAGTGCCGTTGTAACTTTGAGCAGCCACAAAACAAATGGTTGTATGTCAAGGACTACCTATATCAGTGATGGCTAACCTTTTCCACGTTGTGACCCAAAAGGGTGCTCGCGTGCCTACAACCATGATGCAATGCACCTCCCCCTGCTCCCTACACATGCGCATCCTACTCGTGCATGTACCGCATGCCTCTATGCATGCGCACGCAACGCCCCGCATGCATGGCAGATACCCGACAATCAGCTGGTTGGAAGGGGTCGCGCGCGCACGCATGTGCAGTAGGGCTCTTCTGGGCAACCTCTCGGATGCCGGCAGAAGTGGCTCTGCATCCCACTTCCGGCACGCATGCCGTAGGTTCGCCCTCACGGAACTATATTTTGAGTCACTATTGAAAGCTATGGTATTCCAGAGACTGAACCAGGACCCCTGAATGGTTTAGGTTTTGTTTTGCTCAAGGGAGTTTGTAGAAGATAACCAGGGGTGGGCTTCAAAAATTTTTAGCAACAGTTTCTCTGCCCTGTTGCTGGGTGGGCGTGGCCATGGTGGGCATGGCCTAGTCGGCCTCCTGCACCACGGCGGGGGGGGTATTTTTGCCCTCCCTGGGCTCCAGAGGCTTTCCTCGAGCTTCCGGGAGGGTGAAAACGGCCTCCCCGGGCTCTGGAGTCTTTCTGGAAGCCGGAAACGGCCCTTTCCAAACTTCCAGGGGGCCTGTTTTTCACCCTCCCCAAACCTCCACATGTGCCCTGCACTACTTACCTGCATCCAAAATGGGCTGCGTGGGGCAGGGGTGGGATTCTACCAGTTCGCACCTATTCGCTAGAACCGGTTGTTAACATTCTAAGCAGTTAGGAGAACCGGTTGTTAGAAGAAATTACTGGCCTAATCCTGTAAGGAAGGCAGGAAGGAAACATTCTGGTGTTGCTTACAGAAACTGCCTCTCCGTTAACCCTAATTACATTCTTGGCAGGACTAGACTTCCTGTCTCAGGAACTTCTCTGGAGTTTTTTTCCCCTCCTTTGCTGGTACTTTGCTTGTGTGGAGTGACCATTCAAAGTTACAACGGCACTGAAAAAAGTGACTTATGACCATTTTTCACACTTACGACTGTTGCAGCATCCCTACAGTCATGAGAGGCCAGGCAAGGAGATGCGTGCCTCGATGTGAGTGATATTGAGTTGGCCACACCCAGCCAATAACATGGCCACCAAGCCACGTCCACCCAGTCACATGACCACCAAGCCACGCCCACCACCTATGCCACACCCACAGAACCGGTTGTTAAAAATTTGAATCCCACCCCTGGTGTGGGGGCTCCTGGGAGGGGTGGGGAGGGGAGGGTGGAGCCAGCCAGAAGTGGGATTTGGGGGTTCTCCGAATTGTGCAGAATCTTAGCCAGAGGATCTCCCGAACCCCTGCGAACCCCCAGCAGCCCAGACCTGAAGAGAACACTGAAGGAAGATGCTCTTAGATCAGAATGCAAACAACAGGAAGCCAATGGCAAAACCAGTCAGCCTCTTTTATTTGTAATTATCAGAAAACAAAACCATCTATAAATTAGCATGAAGACCAAACAGATCATTCTACATTTTGATTTCTTTTAAAGAGGTATCTGCCAGGAAAGACTGTATTGGTCAAAAGCCTCTATGGGCAAACCTGTCAGCCAGGACTGTGCCACGTATGACAGAATGATTTGCTGTTGTGGTGTGTGTGTGTGTGTGTGTGTGTGTGTTTAATGCACGTAGAAAGTAGCATCTTGAGGAGGCTTGCCTAGGACTTTTTGTCAACTTGCTTGTTTTCCATGCATATACAAGAACTCTTCTCTCTTAGGAGAATATGTCCCCATGAAGTCTGAAAGGAGTCAAAGACAGCCAGCCTGAAGATGACACTTCCACACTGGTGGTTCTCTAAGGAATTTTTTCCTAGGTCTGCCTCAATGGAGATCTCAAGTGTGTTTGCAGAGAGATCCTTCTTGGCTGTGCTCCAATGTCTGGGATTTTCTCCACTTCCCTGGGTGTTTTTCTATTATTTGGAAGATATGTGGGTAAGCTTCTTAGCGCTCGTGGACAGGGGAAATATAAACAAGTTGGCATTTAAAAAGAATGTGTAGGAGGATTCTACAGTTAATGGTCATCAAGCAAAATAAGTCAATAAGCTAAGAGCAGGGGCAGAAGATCTTTTTCTCCCCCAATGAGCAGCCCCTCCCCCAATTCTTAATTTTTGAGTCTTTGTGCACCATGTCGATGGAGATTCTCAGTCATCCATGGTTGTCCCAAAGGTGCTTTTTCAAAAGACAACTGGACTTGTTTTTCCTTGACGTGTCGCTTCTCATCCAAGAAGTTTCTTGGATAAGAAGTGAAACATCTTCAAGGAAAAACAAAGTCCAGCTGCTTTTTGAAAAAGCTTTGGGTCTTGTGCACCATGGTTGTATCAGGAGTAATCAAAATAACAAGGCTGTATCATTTATTATGACAAATGTGACCATGGGGTTGAACCTTATTGCCCATTAGCTCTGCCACCGTGGCCAATGACAGAAGTCTAACAAGGGCGTACATAGTTGAACTACATCTTCTAGTCAGCATGGGCAATAGTGAGGCATGTGGGAGTTGTAGTTCAGCAATATCAGGGGAGCCAGAAGTGAGTATTCTGAATTTTAAGTGTTCTACGATGGTTTGTGTGTACCTGGAAAAAATGTGTAAATATAAGCAAATTTTATCTCATGGACTCGTGTTATCACATCATCAGAACTTCTGAAGTTTAGTGGCAAACCCAGTTTACTTTGTGTCCAGACTGAAATGCTTCCTCTATCTCTATAAAACATGTACTGTGAAATACATCAGGCGAATCCACAATCTCAACATACATATGACCTGAGAGATCCCATCCTTTCATTTCAGTTGCCCTTACTAATCCCTACCAGTCCCATCGATGCTGGCTTTTCGTGGCTCACTTGTTCAACTCTGTATATCCATTCATTCTATACTCCTCTTTCCTCCTGAAATATCCCACCATGGTTCTGAGCCAGGATGCAAGTGGTCTTGCATTACAGGAGTGCTGACCTGGAATACGAATGGATGCTCTGTGGGCCTCTAGATCAGGGGTGTCAAACTCAAGGCTCGTGGGCTGGATCTGGCCCATGAGGTGCTGCAGGGCCGGCCTGGAAACAGCGAAGGACCGGCCCACTGTGCCTCTGCTAGTGAAAATGGAGCTCGGGGGCTCCCTTCAGCTGAACCGGCCTCCTGCAGCGCTTTACCAGCAAAAATGGAGCCCGGGGGTGCATGCCCTGGGCTCCATTTTCACTGGTAGAGGGCTGCAGGAGACCATCCAGGCAGAGAATGGGGCACGGGGGGGGGCCTGCGTGCAGATCTCAGGGAAGTCCTGCCTTAGCACTTGGCCATCACAGGTGTCCCTTACACGAGTCCTGTGTCACACCCATGCCCTCCCCCCGGCCACACCCCATGCCCCCCTGGGCCCTCCAAGGTCAAACACAACCCTGATGTGGCCCTCAATGAAATCGAGTTTGACACCCCTGCTCTAGATGTTGCTGAATTAGAACATCCAGCATGATGCTCTTGTTGCATTCCCAGTTAAGACCGCTAAGTTGCACTTATGCAACATCTGGAGGGCCAAAGATTGCCCATCCCCATTGGGCTGGCTGCCTGGTTCTATTTCAAGAGGACATTTGCTCCTCTTAATTTGCATTCACAAAATATAAACTAATCCCACATTTGGTAGATTAATATACTGGCTGCAAGAGAGTGAATTAGATGCATTCCCCTTCTTCAGGTTGACTTTCTGCATTTTTCTCCATCTGTTGATTCCTGTACCTCCTGGTCTATGATCCAAAGCAGAAGGACTTCTATGTATAAAGAAGCAAACTTCATCCATTGCTTCAAGGATCAGCAAGAAATAAATAAAAAAAACCAGCTGGCCTCAATGAGGCTAAGGGCTGAGGCTTCCTTTGAGGGACAGAGCTGCTTGTTAAGAACTTCTACCCCAGCTGAATCCAGATTAAAAAAGGGGGGGTTCCCATGCACATGGCAGGCGAGTGGGGAGAAGCTGCCCTCAGAGATGGTGGGGGGTATAGCAGGTCCTTAAGTTCTCACATAATGGTGCATCGGTTCCTCCGCAGGGCCCCCTGGAAGCGGATGGCAGTGTGAACGTGCTTACATCGTGCGCAGCCCACACTCTTCAGAAGTTCACTGAAGAGCAAGAGGATATGCCAGTTGTATTTGGCTGAACACTCAATGTAACCACACTTCCATGTCTTCTTCACAAGGTTGGAGACATTCCAGCGAGGGATGACCCGGCCTTTCTGGAGGTCCCGCTTGTTCCCAACAATGATGATGGGAGTATCTGAGGTTCCAATGACTCTGGCAACAAAGAAAGGAAATGTCAGGGCTCCGGTAGTCACCCCCATTTAAATCATGAGTCTCTAGCCGAATTTTCAAGACTTAAAGAAGATTTAAGAGTAAACATGACGGCACTGCCTGGGTGTAGCCAACTCTGAGACACATAATTCATTGTCACCCTTGGCCCTGGTTGTCACCCACCCCCTGGGTGTATCGTAATTCATATTCTCCAATGGGACACATCCATAGCCAAGAGTCATCAATCATACTCTCCAGTTAGAATTTTGTGTGGCAGAAACTTTAGTCACCTAGAAACTATCTTTGAAAACATTTATGGAATGCAGTTTTATTTTTGCAACCTGCTGCATTGCTCCCCCTCCCTTTCTGCTGGCAACTCTAAAAGACCAGATAAATATTTTATGAGTTGACAGGAAAAAAATATTGTGAACAGTTTGAAAACCCAAGCCAAAATGGTAGAATAAGGGGAACAATATGAGGGCTAGGTGTCCCTCTGGTCACAAAGTATGGGAATTATGAAAACTGTAATCCCAACCAACTCCTTCCTAAATCTCTGAAAGACCCAGGTATAAAACATCACAACCCAACCTTTGTTTTTATCATATCGGCCAAGATCATTTTTTTCCTCAACTACTTTATTCACAAAAGTCAATGACTGGGAATGTGTTGGGAAAAGTGACATGAAGTCTTTTTGGGATTATCATTGTAGGGAGGTCACCCTTAAAGGATGGCCAACCCTGGAACTATAGGTTAAGTGGACTGCATGGCATGTAATTCAGTCAGTCATGTGCCTTGGGCACAGTGAAATAGCTGCAGTTGGGGAGGTAGAAAGCATTGATTTGCCCCAGTTCACATTCCCACTAAACAGGTCTTGGTATAAGCAAAGCAAGGGCTCTGCTACTGGGGAGAAAAAAGGTAATAATAGAATAACACAGTTGGAAGGGAAATTGGAGGTCTTAGTCCAATTTACTAACCAGGTAATCCTAAACCCTATATCATTTCAGATAAATGGTTGTCCAGTCTCTTCTTAAAATCTTCCAGTGTTGGAACATTCACAACTTCTGGGGGCAAGTTGTTCCGCTGATTAATTGTTCTAACTGTCAAGAAATTTCTCTTTAGTTCTAGGTTGATTCTCTCCTTGATTAATTCCCATCCATTGCTTCTTGTCCTACCCTCAGGTGCTTTGGATAATAGCTTGACTCCCTCTTCTTTGTGGCAGCCCCTGAGATATTGGAACACTGGTATCATGTCACCCTAATCTTTCTTTTCATTAAACTAGACATACCCACTTCCAACAACTGTTCATTATATGTTTTAGCCTCCATTCCCCTAATTGTCTTTGTTGCTCTTAACTTCACTCTTTCTAGAGTCTTATCATCTTTTTTTCATATTGTGGTGGCCAAAACTGGACGTGGTATTCCAAGTATGGCCTTACCAAGGCATGATAAAGTGGTATTAACACTTCAGGTGATCTTGATTCTATCCCTCTCTTTATGTAGCCTAGAACTGTGTTGGCTTTTTTGGCAGCTGTAGCACACTGCTGGCTCATATTTAATTGACTGTCCATTAGGACTCCAAGATCCCTCTTGCAGTTAGTACTATTAAGCCAGATACCACCCATACTATACCTGTACATTTGGTTTTTCTTGCCTAAATGTAGAACCTTACTTTTTTCACTATTGAATTTCATTTTGCAAGGTAGGACCCAATGTTCAAGTTGTATAGTCCTTCTTCCTCTCCTTTCTCATCCAAGAACCAAAATTGAGCCTATAAAGCTCCTTGAAAGCAGTGCACAACTAAATATTTATAGCACCTGGAGGGATTTCCGTGACTTTTTAAAGAGCCGTTGTACCATGTCTACTTGCTTCCATTCACTTTGTTAAATGGGGATTCCTGCTTTTTACAGGATTCATATCCTAATCCCATCCTGAAGTTACTCCAAGCAGAAAGAGGTTGACAAGGACTGCACATTCGTTATCTGGGAATTTGTGCTGCTTTCTAAAATTCCTGGCATTTAACATCTGGGTCCCTTCCTTTCTCTGATCTCAAGTCCAGGGTGGGACGAAGCAGAGGCATATTTTTACCTTGTTTCTAGGATCTGCTGCCTAATGGTTTTGACATACTCAAAGCTGTCAAAACAACAGATGTCATAGACCAAGATGTAGGCATGAACACTCCGGAGGCCTCGGCAGCACACGTCCGCCCACTCCTGCAACAGAGACACAGAGAGGGACAGATCAGGGAACACACAGCACATAGCTCCCCAATGGTACCACCCAGTCCTCCCACATACCCACAGCTTGCCTCAAGAGTGGGAAAAGTTTGCTCCTGTGGAGTATCCAAATGCTCCAATCAATTCTTAACTAGCAAGGAATACTGGGGGCGGGACAGTGAGAAAGAATCAGAAAAGGAAGCCCTCCAAATTCGGTTTAAACATGGAACTAAAGTTTAATAGAAAGAAGACCAAACTAGTTACAAAAAAATAGAGCAACTAGCCTTAGTCAATGGTATATTGAAGTGGTAGGCAGTGTCTGATTTTTAGAATGGACAGTTAAGAATAAAGGAGTCAATAATCAAGAAATATGTCACTGACTAGCACTTGGTAGGATATCTGTGAAGGGCATGGACAAGATATTCAGATGCTGGGAGTTTTCTATACCTACAAAGATCGGAATGATCTAAGCCAGGGGTGTCCAACCTTGACAACTTTAAGACTTGTGGACTTCAACTCCCAGAATTCCTC